TTTGCAATCCTTACAAGTTATACGATCCCCTTTCCTCATTAGAAGAAAATCTATTTGTGTTTTTGACGACCCACTCTTGTAGGTGATCACACATGTTCTTCTCTCTTCTTAAAGAAGGTGTTGGCTAAGAAGAGATCATATGCCATTGCAAAATCCAAGATAGCTTCCCCATCCTCGTTTCTCTCCCCAAAACCATGGCCACCATGAAAACCTCCATAGTTGCCTGTCTCCCTGCCCACGTGTCCATTTAAATCTCCTCCTATAAATAATTTCTCCGTCTGAGCAATTCCTTGCACCAAGTCTCCAAGATCTTCCCAAAATTTCTCCTTCGAACTCGTATCCAACCCTACTTGAGGTGCGTACGCACTAATCACATTGATAAGTTCTTGTCCTATTACAATCTTGATTGCCATGATTCTATCTCCTACTCCTCTTGACATCTACAAACATCTTGTACCAAGGTCTTGTCCACAATGATGCCAACACCGTTTCTCGTTCTATTTGTGCCCGAATACCAAAGTTTAAACCCTGAGTTTTCTAGATCCTTTGCCTTACTACCAACCCACTTAGTTTCTTGTAGGCACATAATATTTATCCTTCTCCTCACCATAACTTCCACTACTTCCATAGATTTTCCCGTTAAGGTTCCTATATTCCACGTTCCTAAACGCATTTTGCTCTCTTGAACTCTACCCTTCTGTCCTAGCTTCTTCACCCTCCCCCGTCTAATAGGATCAAAGTACTTCTTTTGTGTGTCCCAGGTAAAGTTGATAGGAGCATATGCTCCCAAACAACTTTGAGTGGAGTCGTTCGAAAAGAAGTTTCTATGGCCCCCTTGCTCATTTAACACTGCATCCGGGTGCCGATGGAGATACAGCGACCCTTACTCACTTATCACTGTGCTCGGGCCACACAGCGCGCCACTTACGGGAGACGCCCTAGCTTTAGCGCGATTTTGTTCTGGATTCATTTTCATAAGGATTCGACGTGATCATGGAGTGCCGGCTGTCGACTACCTGACGCCCTCCCCCTCCTCCTTTATCCGGGCTTGGGACCGGCCATGTAAGACATATGCGGAGTTATAATTAGCATGGTACATTTGGCAAAATAAAAAATGGGTACAAATACAAATAAAACTTTAAAAAATATGGGCACAAAAAGAAATTAATATATGGGTTCAAATTACATAATACCCCATCAGGTTTGAGGTATATTACAATCTCATACAACATCTTTAAAACATTTCACTTTCATACCTCACTTATCATTTTATTTCAATATAGTACATCCGTTACATTTTCCATCAATTAATCCGTTAAAAGCTGACGTGGCTGCCATAGTTATGCCACGTGGCTACCAAAATTGTGCCACGTGGCAAAAAAAATTTATTCATTTAAAAATAATTAATTAAAAAAAGTTATTTAGAGAGGAAAAAAAAAACCCATAACCCATCTTCTTCCCCGACCCTTCCCCATTCCCTACAACCTAAAGCCCCCACCCCCACCTTCCCCCACCCACCTTCTCCCCTCTCCTCCACTCTCTTCATCTCCCCTCATATCCAAAAAACCCACTGGAACCTCATCCGTCTCCGTCTCTCTCTTCCTCACCTCAACACCCTTTGGCTGCTCACCCTGAATCTCTTCAACCTCCGCCTTTGTCCCCTTCTTCCTCACCTCAACACTCTTCGACTGCTCACTCCCCACCTAGTCCTTGGACCAAATCGGAGACTTGGACTTCGACTCTGATTTCGACCTCACATCCTTCAACCCCTTCCCTCCTCTCTCCTCGAACTCCTTCCCGAACCTCCGCCACGACAACACTCCGCTCCCGTTGCCTTCACACCTGTACACGTGTCCTCCGCCGCTTCAACACACCATCTGCAAAGACATCTAAATACTCCAAGCTCCTCTCGAAGAACTCACTTTTTAGTTCTCTTTGCAACTCTCTCAGAGTTTTCGAAGCTCCGTTTCAAAGGTGGATGCAAACCCTAACCGAAAATGCAGCGACAATAGCAGTACCAGGTCGATGATGAACCCGTGGGTTCTCCATTTCCAGAAACTGGGTCTCGAGCTCAAGTGCCCCCTCTGGTTCGATTCACACCCCTAAATTCCATTTCTTTATTCAAGTTTTTGAATTTTCAAATTTTATGTTGATTTATTTGGAGCAAACAGGCTTCTGAAATGGGTTTTGTATTTTTGTGTGTTTATTGGTGGGTTCAACTTGAATTTGCTTAATCAACCGACCTTGAAGAGAGTGTAGGAGAGGGGAGAAGATGGGTTGGGGAAGATGGGTTTTAGGGATTGGGAGGGGTGGTGCCCTGATGGTTATGGAGAGTGGAAGAGATGGAGGGGTCGGGTGGAAGACGAAGGAGGTTCGGTGGGAGGGGGGTTGCGGGGGAGGTGGGGGTGGGGTGGGGTGGGGTGGGATGGGCGGTTTAGGTTGCAAGGAAGGGGGAAGGGTCGAGGAAGAAGATGGGTTATGGGTTTTTTTTTTTTTTTTTTTTTTTTTTTTTTTTTTTTTTTTTCTAAATAACTTTTTTTAATTAATTATTTTTAAATGAATAAAAAATTATTATTTTTACCACGTGACATAAATTTGGCAGCCACGTGGCACAATTGTGGTAGCCATGTCAGCTCTTAACGGATCAATGGATCGAAAATGTAACGGATGTACTATATTGAAATAAAATAGTAGGTGACATATGAAAGTGAAATATTTTAAAGATGTTGTATGGGGTTGTAATAAACCTCAAACCTAAGGGGTATTATGTAATTTACCCTAAAAATAAGGAAGCACCAAAAAGTAAATTATTAAAAAAATACTGTTAAAATGACAAAAATACCCCTATTTAATTTGATGCATTATTTTGGGATGCCTTTGAAGTTTTTTGTTTTGAAGGCATTTTTGTCCAAATCTTTTTGTTGAAGCATGGTGACACCAAATCACTATTCACATTTTCTATTCTCTTTATATATAATAGAATAGATAGATATAGACATAGATATAGATAGATAAGAAAGTAGAAATTAGAAACCCATTTGTTTGAACAACGCATTCATTCATGTGATAAAAAAAATATTAGTGCAGTGTCTTTGTTTCCAAACATTTTTCGACATGTTACGTCTAACTTAGAGTAATATTAGGAAGACAAAATTTATAGACAAAATTTATAAACTAAATGATGTGTCACAAATAGGAAATAAGCACGTTTTCAACGCTTAAGTAATAATCAAATTATAAACTTTCATGTCATAGAATAGTAACTGATTGAAAATTTTATTCTGGATTCTTAAATTTCATTGACATTTGAATAAATAGGTCAGTCAACAATGGTACGTATGACTCAGTCATATAGGTTTTAAGCAAGATTTAATTGTTGTAAGGGTCTATTAGATCCTTATATATAAGATTTAACTGTTAATTTTTGAATCATAAGTAGTACGTAACAAATAACAGAAAAATTGTAAAGTTGATAGAATGCTTTAGGGTTCATTCTAGTGAGGAGGATGTTCAGATGAAAAGTTTGAACGATGAATCATGGACTAAGGTGTAAACAAAATCATTTTGACATTTCCACTCACCACCAAAAGCGACTAACTTGCAACTTTATCTTTGTGCAAAGTTACAATTACCTTCTGGACGAGGACCAAGTGCCAAGAAATTTTAGACTCAATCGTCAAAAAATCTTTATATATAAAGTCAAGTCAAGGGTCCAATAAATAATGTTTTTTGGTGTCACAAGCTTCACAAAAATAATTGGACAAAAATGCCCCTCAAACAAAAAATTTCAAAAACAACCCAAAATAATGCATCAAATGTGATAGGAGTATTTTTGTCATTTTAATAGTGTTTTTTTTAATAATTAATTTTTTTTTTGTACTTTTTTTTAATAATTAGTACCTCACAATAGGCTAACAATAATATGATTCAATCAATTATTCATTAAATATTATTTTCTCTATTTTTAAACACATTCAAAATATCTTAAGAGGCGTATAATGCAGCTTATAAAAAATGTATTTCACACGTGGTTAACAACGTAATTAAATTAGTTGTCAAATGATTTTTTTTTTTAACATACGATATTATTTACACTAAGGGGAAGGGGGTCGGCTTAGCCTCACAATGTGCTAGCAATAGTGTGATTCAATTAGTTATTTATTAAATATTATTTTCTCTATTCTTAATATAAATTCAATAGTGACCGATTTTATTATATGGATTCAACTGTTTTAATTGGTTTATGAGGGGTTTCTTCTAGCATGATCTAAGATTATTCATTTACTTTAAATATTTGACTTTTCTTTTGTCAATTTATGCATATAAATACATTTAAAACGTGTAAGTCACACATAGCACGCCTTGATTCAAAAAATGTCATCTGCGCGTGCATGAGCACGTGCATGAAGGCTAGTATGTAATAAGAATTGGGTTATGACGGGTCCACAAAAAAGTCTTCTATGCATCTTGTATTAGAGGATTATACAAATAATGAAATAATGTTGTCTGGTACTCCAAAAGATGTCTTTATGCAGTCTTCATATATATATATATATATATATATATATATATACACATTTTTTTGTGATATTTTTAGATGGAAGTGCAAAATTATTTTTTTGGTGTACCAATAACAGCTTCGAAAAAATAACAAAGAATACATCAATAGACATATTGTGCATTAGGCAATAAATTAAACACTTACATTCTGTTTAATCAAATTTTATGTTGTGATTGAGTTGAGCTACCACAAATTTTTTTAGATAACGTTGGCAATTGCGTCACCCCGAGTTCTTTTTACACCTAATGTATAAGAAAATTCCAAAGAGAAAATGTAGGCTCCTCAATTTTTTTTTCTAATTTTTATCCAAAATAAAAGTCTTCCTCCGTAAAGTAGCCGTAAAGTAGTTTAGAAGAAAACAATCCACAATTTTCTTATAATTTTTATCTAAACAGACAAGTCAAAACTCAAACATTATAAATGAATCCTTAAACTGTTATCTCAGTTCTCAACATCATCCCACATTCATTTCCCACCAAATGGCAGAAGCAACAAAGAGGTGGCCACTTAATTCCATAACAATTTCTCACTTTTGTATTTTGTTTCTTACTTTTGTTTTGTTTCTGATTTGTAGTTTCTGTGAATATTTTTCAGGTATGCAGTTGTTACAGGCGCAAACAAAGGATTAGGATTAGGGATTGTCAAGCAGTTGGCATCAGATGGAATCACTGTGGTCTTAACTGCCAGAGATGAGAAGAGGGGTCTTGAAGCTGTTGAGAAACTCAAACAGTCTGGCTTGGCAGGTCAAGTGGTATTTCATCAACTTGATGTGGCTAACCCTGCTACCATTCTACCTTTGGCAGAATATATCAAAACCCAGTTCGGGAAACTCGATATCTTGGTATGATAAAAACTGGTTTCTTAAAAAGTTTACGTCTTTGCAGACTTGGGCATACCGAGTTGGCTAGCGCAGCCTGCTCCCCTGTGTGCACCTCTAAGTTAGATTACTCCCCTTCTATAGGGGTGAGAGACTGGGTTAAGTCTCACACTGGGTTAATTATAGTAATTTGATTCGAATTCACTTTTAGTGAGAATCGAAGCTAAGACCTCTCACTTAATACAAAAGAAATCTGTTGTATTATATTATTTTTTTTAACAAACGATATTATCTACATTAAAGGGAAGAGGGTGGACTTAGCCTTACAATGTGCTAACAATAATGTGGTTCAAATTCACATGTGGCAAGAATCGAACCTAAGACCTCTCACTTACAAAAGAATCTTCATATAACTATCACTACCTTACCATACATGAAGTTTTTTGAATAAAAGTAATTTGCATTAGACTGTAAATTTGTCATTGTCTGTTGTGTACCCTATCCCATATATGATCCGATCCTCTGTACAATTTGCAAGATTTTCCCACTACTCGAGCCTTTCAGTCTGTCATTATACCTGGGAAGTCAATAGAATATATTCGTCATACCCGAAAAAGATTAGTTGTTGGACTTTAGGGTTTGACAAAGCACACCCTTGGGCGCTTTGAAGGGCATTGGCTTTTGTTGCAAGAACACCAAAGGATCTACCAAACCTTTCATTTTCATTCTCTATAATTTCTTACTTTTTAATTGCTTGTGTGACTGAAATAAGCAATATTGAAAGAGTTGGACTCTGCACAGGTGAACAATGCAGGAATTATGGGAGCCGCCATTGTAGATACCGATGCTTTTAAAGCTGCAGCAGCTTCTGGTATTCCGGTAAGTCTTTGACCTAATTTTTTTCACAAGGCCACTTTTGGTGCCTGCTATTGGATTGAATTGGATAACTTACTAGCCTTTAAAGGAAAATGATCTGTGTAATGTTCCCAACAATATTTTCACTGTGATAGTTTGATGACTGCTGTGCATGTGAACCTGTAATTAACAATATATTTTTTTTTTTTTTTGGGTGGGTATCTTATGCAGGAAGGAACTGATTGGAAGAAAATGATGACTCAAAATTATGAGTTAGCAGAAGAATGCGTGCAAATAAACTATTATGGTGCTAAACGAACAACTGAAGCGCTTATTCCACTCCTCCAATTATCTGATTCACCGAGAATAGTTAACATTTCATCTTCCTGGGGCAAGTTAAACAATATACCTAGTGACTGGGCTAAAGGAGTTTTCAGTGATGCTGAAAATGGAACAGAAGAGCGAATAGATGAGGTGTTGACTCAGTTTCTAAAAGACTTCAAGGAGGGTTCAATTGAAAGCAAAGGCTGGCCTTCTTTTATGGCTGGCTATATACTCTCAAAGGCTGCAATGAATGCACATACACGTGTCCTAGCCAAGAAGTACCCCGATTTTCGCATCAATTGTCTCTGCCCCGGAATTGTCAAAACAGATATAAACTTCAATGCTGGTAACGTGCCTGTCGAAGAAAGTGCTGCAAGGGTTCTGAAGTTAGCATTTCTTCCCGATGATGGCCCTTCTGGCTTCTTCTTTGTTGAGTCTGAAGTAACAGGTTTTTGATTGAAAATGATTTATATTATATGCAAATGTTGCCAATGCATGCAATAAAAGTCACTCGGTGTCGTATAACATGCTCTATCTCACATTCCAGTATGATGGAAGTTTAGAATTTTCATTTAAAGTCTGGATTTTGTCCTTTGTACCACATATTCTATCAGCAGTTATGTTTTTATTTAAATATTTTAAATATATTTATGATTTGTTTTATTACAAACATTGAATATAAAACGTAAATTGTTATTAACCTTATAAATTGTTATTAACTTTATTATCTGATCAGGATCATTAATTCATTAGAAACATGAGAAAGCTTCTCACCTTAAAGATGGGATTCTTTCTCTGAATAAAAAAAAAAAAGATCAAATCTATTTTTACATAATTTTTTATTCCGTTGTGATTTGGACGTTTTGATTTAGTCCATTTTGTTTTCTTCTGCATTGATTACTTGCAGCTTTCTTTCCCTTAAATCATTTACATCCCCCAACGTCTCTTTTATTATATATAAAAGTCCGAGGATCCAAAAAAAAAAGTATAATAAGAAAAAAAAGACAAGTTTTACAAATATTGAGTTAATAGCAACATATCGAAAAGGTGTGAGTTAGAAGGTTTTTCGTTGCCAAGAGAAAGCAGAAGAGGTTTTGTGTGTATCATGGGGACGTGTGTTTGTGAAATTGCACCACCAGAGGCCAACGCCTTTAATGAATTGAGGTTCCACAATAATAACAATTAGAGAATGAGAGAGCCCAAGACCATATAAGCACATAGCAAACCTTGTCCAAAAACGATTAAGATGGGACAACTCTCAAACACCCCGACGTGTGGCGGATTTTTTGCCTACATTGAACAACGACTGGTGACGTGGAGCGCGTGTGGCCGTCTGGCTTCACACAAGGACAACCCGCTATTGAACCATGTGGAAATTTTTCAGGTCGACGGGCAGGGCCCCAACTAAACATCGCTTAACCACTGCACAATCCTCAAGTGTGGAGTTTTTACATCAAAAAGGCCTCGATATATAGTTAGAGTGGGGTAAATTCTATAAAGTACTCTTTCTCCCTTCCTCTGTCCGATGTGGACAATTGGTTTCAAGACTCGCTCGCATTGGATGGGTCACACGTGAAATTCCACACATCGAACTTGTGGAGCCATGTTGGGACCACCCAATCGCACGGGTCATTGGGGACCACCCCAAACACATGGCCTACTCGGACAATCAACGCGGGCCAATGGGACCCACCCAATCAATGGCAATACGAGCCGTCCCCGGCTCTGAAACCATGTGGAATTTTCAGGTTGACGGCCGAGGGCCCACTCTAACAACACCGATATGTCCTACTAACACCTGCAATCCAGGTGTGGAGTTTTTATCACAAAAAGCCTCCTTATTAGTTAGTTAGAATGGGTACTTTTTTAAAGTCCGATATTTACAATTGGACACAACACTCCTCGCACGTGAGATTATGGGCACATTGAAAATTCCATAGCAATCGGCAAACCATGTGGAGCATGTTGGGCTTCACCCAATCGCGTAAGGTCATTGAGAGAACCCCCCAACACCTGGAATCTTTGGCCCACTCAATTTCACAGGGCCAATGGGTTTTCTTAAGTATCAACCTCCTTGGACGTATTTCAATCTTCCAGTCTTAAAGGCAAAGTCCGTTTCATCAAAATATCACAAACAGCAAGGCTTTGCAATTTTAAGAAACACCTTAGTTAATGGGCCTTTCTATTTTCGGACATCAACTTTGTTTGCTATTGATCTATCACCTTTTCAAGTCTGATGGATCCAAAAGGTTGGATGACACCAAACTCGTTGTTTGGCTATGAATCGTTTCACCTTTCAAGACCTAATCTAAGAAGATCTGGAAAGGAGGTTGGTGATTGGATTCACTCACCTTGGGGCAAGATCGCAATACTCACTAAAAGTGATACTTTTGTGCCAACCCCTAGAGATGGGACGAATCTGGTCTAGGCTTAATTCTCAACACAGTGGATTTTCAAACTTGGAAGCAGACGTATACTATCACTAAAATGGGTTTTTGATGCGAAACGATATGCTACTGAACGTTGTTAATTGAACAATGTTGATAAATGTAGTAAGTTAAACCACTAGAACTCACTAAATCTGTCAAATTAGAATGATTTTGAAATGTCTATTGTAGCAAGCTAAAATCTAGAACTTCAATAATCTGTCAATAGAGAATCTGAACCACTTGATTTAATTCACTTTGATATATGTGATGAGTAGATTTTATATTATATATTTTACCCCAATCTTAGTATATTTTGGTTAATATTTTGGAAGAATTTTGATACTTTGAATTGTATTTTCCATATAGGACTTTCGACTTCCTCTGGAGCAAAACAGGATCAAATGGACGAATTTTGGAGTAATTCCAGTTGGAGAACGTTCGTGAGTCACTTAGCTTGATCGTATCAAAATTTGGGATTTTTCCACCAAGCGGTTATTTTCTGGCAATGAAATAAAGAAGCAGTGCGCATTGCTGGAAAATGACGTTTTTGGGCTTAAATTGCGTTTTTGGAGCCCAAGATGACCTCGGATGGGTTCGTGGCCTTTTGGAAAGTGTTCAGAATTTCCAAACATTAAATCCAGCTATATTGGGCCCGTTTTGGAGCAGCTTATGGGTCAAAACGTGGCTGTTCAGATTTTAGGCGAATTTAATTTAATTTAAGGTTATGTTTTCTATTTCATGGGATTATTAATTTCAGGTTTTTAGGGTTTGTGTGGGAGGCTTAGCAGATATATTGCTTGGCCGTCTACCATATTTCTTTACGCTTCTTTTATGCAATTTTGGAGACAGAGAGAATTGTTAGGGTTTTGAAGATTTTTTTTTTACTTGAAGGTGCTTTCAATATTTTCTTGAATATAATTTTCTATGATTTTCATTATGAGTATCGGAACTAATTTCTTTTTTCTAGGCGAAGCCTTGAGCCTTAAGCATGAAATGTGATTCTTTATTTAATGCTTATGAAATGAGTGCATGCAATACATTGAATTGTTAATCAACCGGAAAAAATTATCCTAATTGTCTTAATGCTGATCACCATTAGTATCTTAGAAAGTAATTGATGAATTTTGGTCGGAATTCCGAAATTGACGTTGGCTTCTTGTGATTAATAATTGTAATTTCACTTAGGATGAATATCACGTCTTAAGGATTGCATGGTTTTTCAAAGGATTTTCAATAAAGCAAATGGTCTTTGTATTTGAACTCGGACGGGTGCTTTAGATATCGTCTATGTGGAAGGTTCCAAGTAAGTCATGAATAGGAAAATCTTCTAAATGTTGGAGTTATAAAGTATTGTAAAAATTCAATAGATTTTAGGATTAACCTGTGCTTTCTAATTTTTTCTCCAAACTGTTTCTTCTTTTAGCCTTAAATTCAGATTGTTTATTTTAATTCTTTTTTCAATTTTATTTTAATTTTATAAAATCATCACTCTTCTACTTTCTAAATAAATGGCTTGATTAGTTTCGAATTAATTTAAATAGTCCTTGTGGAGAAACGACCTGTGAGATCCGTTTATACTACAATAACCTTTGTGATTCTTGGCAAAATAAAATAGGAAGATTTAAGCCGTTCACATGAGTAAGTAAAAATCCTATCAAGAAGAATGCCCGTTGCATTATCAAAATAATCATACGAATCAGGTTTTCATTAGTTATTTGTTTATCATATAAAAAAATTAATTTTGTTTTATTTATTTGTACAGATTACAACAGTACAGCAGTGCAGATTTCAGAAAATCTGTGCTGGTCAGCACCCGTTCAAAGTGCAGAAATTGAATCCACTTGATCCAGAACTTGAGCAGACTTAAGGAGAAACGCAGGGAGCAAACTTTGCAGAGGTTCGTCCCCTCTGCAAGGAGACTTTTCTAACAATATTCTTTTCTGGGACCCTGCACCAAACAAGATAAAATGGCAATTGTAATTCAGAGGCAGGTCTGCCCCATGGGTGATTCACGACAGCCCATTACCACAAGACACCGTGCGCTCACAATGCAGTGAGGAACTCTGCATTTTAATGCAGCATAATTGAATATCTACTACGTTTCATGGGCATCTGATGATCCTAACATCCATGCATAATTTTTAATGGGTGCCAAAAACATTTTGGTGATATTTTCCACCGAACTATTAAGCCCGTTTATTTCCTTACATCTAAAAGTCAAGCAAGGAGATGGCTCCTAACTCCACCACTGGGGCATTAGTAATTGCCCAACCCCAATTTTTAAACAGTATTTTCCGGCTTCTAAGACTCTTGACATGAAAACTCAGATTTTAGGTTTTGCCCCCCTAGAGTCTGGCGTCAAGCTTTAAAGAGTTACTGAGAAATGTCGCATTCGTATTAACACTTCTGATCAAATGCCAATTTTTAGGGAACATATACTAAAAAACTCTTGTCAAAATAATTTCGGATTCCACAAGGATAAAATGAAACAAGAACTGTTTGTATTTTGGCCGGATACACAAAGTGGAGTTGAGCAGACAACTAACGCTGTTTTTAATTAAGGTTGATTGTTACAGCACAATTGAAGTCAGACTTACCAAATTTTGGGGGTCAATGCATCATTTTTTCAGAGGGTTCACAAATATGACCAAACAACTCATCATTTGATATGCGGAAGGTTTTGAAGGTGTGTAAGAGGCTGGGTTATTGAAAAATTAATATACACAACAGCGTCCCCGATATGTTTTGAGAATTAAACAACCCTTGAGGATCATCCTAATCTTGATGCAAACAATGATTAAGCAACAGCTTCCTTTCAATATACAGTAACAACAACCTGAAAATAAAGGGCTTTATCAATGAAAACATAAAAAGACAACTCAAGGAAAATTCAAAATCTACAGGCAACCAGTGAAAACAACCATTGGAAAACCAGATGGGCAAGAATTGCTTTGCAGGTTTCTGAAGGGCAACCGGGTACAATTGTCCTAGCCAAACCCGAACCAAATCCAGAGGATTGCCAAGGCAAGTTAGATTTTACATTACCTGGCAAAAAGTTTTGAATATACAAGGGAGCTATAATTTTCTGCAAACGTCGGTTGATGAAACAATTTGATGACTAGTAATTCTTCAATTGACGTGGGTGTTTTTCACAGCAAAACAATTCAAACCTTGTTTGTCAAAATTCTGAACAATTGTACTTATATGTTACAATATTGCCATTTTTATTTTGAATAAGCGT